TTTTTTCACATTTGATGTAAAATAAGATCGTCGCCGGAAAACGTTCGTAAAACGTATTGGATCGATGACCGAAATAGGTGATTCGTTATGAAAGTGGTTCTGAATTTTCTTTGTACGCCGCGCTTTTTTTTCGTCGTGATTTTCGCGATTACGTACGGGGCGGAAACATGGGCGTTCCACAGCGGCAAGAACATGCAGTCGATGCTGGTCGAATCCGGCGTGGCTGCGGCCGTTTTCGCCGTTTTCCTATGATGGTAGCCGGCCGGGCCGAACGGGAGAAAGAGCGCAACGACAAAAAAGGAGGAACGCAGAAACGCGGCCGGGAAAGGATAATCGCCAGCCGTCTTAGGAGGAAGTCCGATGGAAAAAAATATAAATACCGCACGACCGGCGCTGCCGGCGATTACGGCGGCCCTGTTGTTGATTCTCGCCGGGCTGTTCGTTTGGTTTCATTTCGTCCTGGGAGGCGATTACCTGCCGGCCTGGGGACTCTTTTTCGGTCGTCTGCATCATCACGCTGTACATCCTGTCCATTCCGCGTTACATCCTGCTGGACGACGCGGCGCTCGAGATCCATTGCATCGTCGACCTGACGCGATTCACATCGAGATATCGAACTGATCCGGCGGATCGAACGCAGCGAATTCCGCCGGCTGTGGCCGTTGCTCGGCAGCTACGGGTTCTGGGGATATTACGGCTACTATTTCAGCTTCCGGAGTGGACGCTGTACAAGGTCTATGCGGCGGAGCGGAACAACCTGGTGCTGATCGAGGATATTTACGAGGATACCTACATCGTCAGTTGCGACGACCCGGATGGGCTGATCGCTTTCGTTTCGGAGCCCGCGACCGGAAACGGGCCGAGATACTCAGGCACACGGCCGGGCAGATCGCGAAATGACCGTTCCGCAGAGCCGATAAATCCGTCGGGAGCGGGGACTCTTTTTGATAAATTGATTATCTTTGCAAAACGGGAGAATTTCCGTTTTGTGTTTTATGCCCGTATCGAAAAGCAGGGTAATTTAATAAATATAGAGAAAATGGTATTTGACATTGAGTTGATTCGGAAAGTTTACGGCTCGTTCGCCGCCAGGGTGGAGCAGGCCCGGAAAGTGAAAGGAACGTCGCTGACGCTGGCGGAGAAAATCCTCTATGCGCACCTGTACGATGCGTCGGATGCGAAAGCGTTCCGCAGAGGGGTCGATTACGTGAATTTCCGTCCGGATCGCGTGGCGATGCAGGATGCCACGGCGCAGATGGCGCTGTTGCAGTTTATGAACGCCGGCCGCGACCGTTCGGCCGTTCCGGCGTCGGTGCACTGCGACCACCTGATTCAGGCCGACCGGGGGGCCGCTTCCGATGTGTCTACCGCCAACGATTCGAACCGCGAGGTGTACGATTTTCTCAAAAGCGTGGCCAATCGCTACGGGCTCGGTTTCTGGAAAGCCGGGCCGGTATCATTCATCAGGTCGTGTTGGAAAACTACGCTTTTCCGGGCGGCATGATGATCGGGACGGATTCGCATACGCCGAACGCCGGCGGGCTCGGCATGGTAGCTATCGGCGTCGGCGGGGCCGATGCGGTGGACGTGATGGCAGGGATGCCGTGGGAGCTGAAAATGCCGAAGATCATCGGCGTGAAACTGACCGGGCGGCTCAGCGGCTGGGCTTCGCCGAAAGACGTGATCCTGAAACTGGCCGGGATACTGACCGTCAAGGGCGGAACCAATGCGATTCTGGAATATTTCGGCGACGGGGCGGCTTCGCTGTCTGCGACCGGCAAGGCGACGATCTGCAATATGGGCGCCGAGGTGGGGCCACCACTTCGCTGTTCGCCTATGACGAGTCGATGGCGCGCTACCTGCGCGCTACCGGACGCGAAGAATGGCCGCGCTGGCCGACGGCATAGCCGGTTCGCTGCGCGCCGACGCCGAAACGGCCGCCGAGCCGGAAAATATTACGACCGGGTGATCGAAATCGACCTGTCGTCGTTGGAACCCTATATCAACGGGCCTTTTACGCCCGATGCCGCGCATACGATCTCCGAATTCGGCGCCTGGGTGCGCGAAAAGGGATCCCGCAGCGGATGGAAGTCGGCTTGATCGGATCGTGTACGAACTCTTCGTACCAGGATCTGAGCCGCGCCGCTTCGTGGCGCGTCAAGCGGCCGCCAAAAAGCTGGAGACGAAAGCGAAGCTGCTGATCAATCCGGGTTCGGAGCAGGTGCGCTATACGGCCGAACGCGACGGAATCTTGCAGTCGCTGCTTGAGGCGGGCGGCACCGTGATGGCCAATGCTTGCGGTCCGTGCATCGGGCAGTGGCGCGGCACGAGCCGGACAACACGCGTCCGAACTCGATCGTGACGTCGTTCAACCGGAACTTTGCGAAGCGGGCCGACGGCAATCCGAATACGCACGCTTCGTGGCTTCGCCCGAACTGGTGATGGCGCTGACCATCGCCGGCGACCTGACGTTCAATCCGATGAAGGACACGCTGCAAATGCTGCCGGACAGTCCGTGATGCTCGACGAACCGAAAGGGGACGAGTTGCCCGCCTCCGGGTTCGACGTGAAAGACAACGGGTACGTCGCGCCCGATCCGCACGCTTCCGGCGAGGTGGCGATCGCCGCCGGTTCGAATCGCCTGCAACGGCTGGAGCCTTTTGCCGCGTGGGACGGGAACGACTTTACCGATTTGCGGCTGCTGATCAAGGCGTCCGGCAAGTGCACGACCGACCATATCTCGATGGCGGGGCCGTGGCTGCGCTTCCGGGGACACCTCGAAAACATTTCGGACAACCTGCTGATGGGAGCCGTCAATAAATTCAACGGACAGACCAATTCGGTGCTCAATACGCTGGACGGCAGTTATGACGCGTGTCGTCTGTGGCCAAAAAGTATAAGGCGAAGGGGATCGGTTCGATCGTCGTGGCCGAGGAGAACTACGGCGAGGGATCGTCGCGCGAACATGCCGCGCTCGAACCGCGCTTCCTGAATGTGAAGGTCGTGCTTGTCAAGTCGTTCGCGCGAATCCATGAAACGAACCTGAAAAAACAGGGTATGCTGGCGCTGACGTTCGCCGATCCGGCCGATTACGACCGCATCCGCGAGGACGACCGGATCGAAGTGACCGGCCTGAAAACGTTTGCGCCGGCAGCCGATGACCGTTACGCTGCGCCACAGCGACGGAACGTCCGAGTCGTTCGAAGCCAATCATACTTACAACGAACAGCAAATCAAGTGGTTCAAGGCGGGAGCCGCATTGAACTGCTAACGAATTGCAGCGGTATTTTCCGGCCGGACGGCGCGGATCGTCCGTCCGGAATTCCCTGAAAGTTCGAAATATCAGGGTTTCGAGTGCAAAATATTGTTTTTCAACGGAAAGCGTTATCTTTGCCCTCCCAAAGTGCAGGAATCTCTTGCGAGGACGTAGGGGCCCGCAATATTCCCACTATAAATTTAATTGAAAAGAGATGGATAATTTAATCAAGATCGCCCAGGATTCGATGTGGGTGAAGCCGGAAGTTCCCTCGTTCAAAGCGGCGACACGATTACCGTGACCTACAAGATTGTCGAGGGTAACAAGGAACGTCTCCAGAGTTTCCGCGGCACGGTCATTCAGATCAGGGCAGCGGTATTACGAAGATGTTCACGATTCGTAAAATTTCGGACGGTATCGGCGTGGAACGTATTTCCCGGTTTACTCGCCGCATATCGACCGTATCGAGGTGAATAAAGTGGGTGTCGTTCGCCGTGCGCGTATTTACTACCTGCGCGAACTGACCGGTAAAAAAGCTCGTATCAAAGAGAAGAAAGAGTGGTGGCCAAATAGTCCGGATAGCTTTTCGGATACGAAAGATTCTATACGACGGGGAACCAGCAGGCTGGTTCCCCGTTTTGTCGTTCCCGTCCCCGCCGGGCGGATAGTTGTTTTCGGCAGCCGGGACAGGACGCTTCGCCGGCGGCGGGGACGGTTAATCTGAAAATTTTGTATATTTACAAAATATTCGAACTCCGTTCCACTGTTAAACGGCTATTCTGCAATGGTTAAAGAGATACTGCTGATCATATCCGTCATCCTGCAAATCATTGCGGCGATCGTCGCTATCGGGCTGACGCGCCGTACCAATACAACCTGTCGTGGATGTTGTTTACGGTCGCGCTGACCTGCATGGCGTTTCTGCGTCTCGGGGAGTACGTTCAGATCACCGATCTGAAGGAGTGGCGGTTGCCGTCGGAGTTCTTTATCTGGACAGGGATCGTTACTTCGCTCTGTTTCGCGGTCGGGATGCTCCTGGTGCAGAAAATTTTCAATTACATCGCCCGTGCCGAGCGTCAGCGGCGGATCAGCGAACGGCGGATACTGAACACCGTGTTGCGTACCGAGGAAAAAGAGCGGCAGCGTTTTTCGAAAGATCTGCACGACGGATTGGGGCCGTTGCTTTCGTCCGCAAAGATGTCTATTTCGGCGCTTTCGTCCGGCGATACGGATGAACGCAACCGCGAGATACTGCGCAATGCCAACTACGTGATCGACGAAGCGATCCGCAGCCTGCGCGAGATCTCGGTCAATCTCAGCCCGCATATCCTGAACGATTTCGGGTTATCGCGGGCGATCTCGAATTTCATCAATAGGCTGCCGCGCGGCGCGATGCGGATCAATTTTTCGACGAACCTGCGGACGGAACGTTTCGATATGGATATCGAAGTGATCCTGTACCGGATCGTGTGCGAGTTGATTAACAACAGCCTGAAACACTCCGGGGCCTCGGTCGCTACCGTTTCGCTGGTTTACGCCGACGGCGTGCTGCGGCTCGATTACCGCGATAACGGATGCGGGTTCGACGTAGCGAAGGTCGAACAGAAAGGAATGGGAATCGCTAACATTCAGTCTCGGGTCAGTTCGCTGAAAGGCGATTTCGCGTTGAAAAGCACGCCCGGCCGCGGAATGAATGCGGTGGTCGAGGTGCATGTGTAAAAAAGGACGGTTATGGAAAGAACTTGTAAAATAGTGTTGGCGGACGATCATACGCTGTTCCGCAACGGACTCAAGACGTTGTTGTCGGGCATCCGGAATTTCGAAGTGACCGGGAGGCTTCCGACGGTTGCGAGTTGCTCGAACTGCTGGGGCGCGAAACTCCGGACGTCGTGCTGTTGGATATCGAGATGCCGAAATGAACGGCATTGTGGCCGCCGAAGAAGCGCTGAAACGTTGGCCCGACCTGCGGATTATCACGCTCTCGATGTACGGCGACGAGGATTACTATTTCAAAATGGTGTCGCTCGGCGTGAAAGGTTTTATTCTGAAAAATTCAGAAATCAAGGACGTCGTAGCCGCGATCGAAACGGTGGTCGACGGAGGAAGTTTTTTCTCGCAGGAGCTGTTGTTCAATCTGGTAAGCAACCTCAAATCGACTCCGTCGTCGGTGCCGGAGGATAGTCCCGAACAGCTTTCGCAACGCGAGTCGGAGATCCTGCTGCACATCTGCCGCGGCGAGTCGAACAACGAGATCGCCGATGCGCTGTTTATTTCGAAACGCACTGTCGATAAGCATCGGTCGAATATCCTGGCTAAAACCGGATGCCGGAATACGGCGAACCTGGTCGTCTATGCGATCAAGCACAACCTGGTGGAGATATGAAACGAAACACTCCCGGAACGCGTTACGAACGGTTCCGGGAGTGTCGTATAACGGGGACGGCGTTTAGAACTTGAGTCCCGCCGACAGGGTGATCGTGTTTGCGGTTCTGCTTGGTATCGACGGCTCCCGACTGGATGGTGTATTTATCTTTATCGTCGTAGAAATAGAACATCTGGTAGGGAGCGTATTTGTACGCGGTGTAAATATAGGTCGCGTCCAGGTAGAAATTTTGGAAACGGAATCCCAAGCCGGCCGAATAGTTCTCGTAAGAACGGACGTTCGCCTGGTTGATGAAGGCGTCCTTCGTCCGGATGCACTCCCCGTAATTGGCATAGCCGACCCGCACGTAGAAGTTTTTCAGCGGAGTCGCCTCGACGCCCACCCGGAAGTTGTTCGCCGGCTGAAAGAACGACTTGATGTCCTGGTTGAGATCCTGTTCGAATTCCCAGTTGTTTCCGTTCATGTTTCGGATCTTCATGTTGTCGTACCATACCCGTTCGTAATCGGCCGTGATCAGCCCTACGCCCGGGAGCGTGAACGAAATACCCGTGAGCAGCCGCGTGGGGGTGTTGATGTTGTACTGGTTGGGGGCGTACGGGCTCTCCTGCCAGTTTTGCTGGGTGTTGAATTCCGCCGACATGTATTCGGTGTACTCCTCGTTCATGCTGACGTAGGTCGGCGTATGGACGGCCACGCCGATCCGCAGGTTGTCGACCGGACGGAGGATGGCCCCGAACTTGAAATTCACGCCGGTGCCGTCCTGACGCAGCGTCCGGATGTAATTCAGGCGATTCAGCGGCAGCGTATTGTTGCTGTAAGTTTCGCTGTAATTGTTTTCGTTCCGGAAGTAAATATCCTGAATCCCGACCGTAAACCCGAGGTAGAGGATATTCTGGAAGTTGAATCCGCCGGAGATGTCGTATTCGCCGATACTTCCCTTGTTGATGTTGTACAGCGACGGGTTGATCCGCGCGTCTTTCGAAAGGTTGTTCCACGGGGCGTAATAGTTGTCGCCTACCGGGTCGAGCACATAGGTGTTGTAGGCCAGAATTCCACCCCATTGTCCGATAGCGAGGCTCTGGAACGGACTGATCGGGTCTTCGGGAGTCATTCGCAGCGTCGATTCGCTGACTCCGCGGATATCTTCCGCGAATACTTCGGTCATCGACTGTCCGATCCTTGTCCGTAAGCCGCCGACGTGGTATTGAAATCGGCCAGTTTCGTATAACCTACGCCCAGCGTGAAGCTGGTCAGCGCGCCTGTTCCCTGGTAGAGGTTCAGCGCTGCCCCGACATTGCCCAGCGAAAACCGGGTGCGCGAATAGTCGTTGCTCCGTCCCTGAAAGCCGCTTTCCATGTTACTCCAGGTCAGCGACGGCGATATGCCGACTTCCGATCCCCGGTAGATTCCCAGACCTGCCGGATTGATGTTCATCGAAGAGAGATCCGCGCCGAGCGATGTGAAAGCTCCGCCGAGCGCCGCGCTGCGTGCCGTTCCGAATGAATAGTTGTACTGAGATAGATTCAGTAGGTCGCCCGGAGTCTGGGCGGTCGCCGTTGCGAACGGAAGCGCCGCGATGACGCATAGCGTGACGAATTTGTTTTTTTTCATAATTCGTTCTTTGATTAATTCGATGTTGAGTTTCGTGTTCGAGGTTTGTCGTTGCCGGAAGCCGGCCGAAGATTATCTCCGATAGCTTGCGCCGCCGCCCGACGATTGTCCGCCGCCGGTGTATCCTCCTCCTCCCCCCGGTAGCCGGACCCGGTGCTCGGCGAGTAGCTGCTGCCCGAAGAGGGAGCGGTGCTTCCGCGCCGGTACGACGATCCCGAATTGTTGTTAACCGACGGGCTTACGGTGGTAGTCGGCCCCGATGCGGTTCCGCCGCGCCGGTAGGACGAACTGCCCGAAGACGTTCCCGAACCGGTGCTGCCGATCGAACTGCCGCTCGAGGTCGTACCGCCCCGGCGGTACGACGAGCCGCCGTTCAGCGACGAGCCGGTAGTCGTTCCGGGCCGGTAGGTCGATGAAGTGGTTCCTCCCCGGCGGTAGCTGGGTCCCGACGACCCCCGCCCTGCGGAAGATACCGTGCCGCCCGTTCCGGTTCTCGGACGGTTCCAAACCGTGTTCTTATTATTGTATTTAGGGTAATAATCGTATCCCCAGTGATGATGCGGGCCGTACCATCCTCCGTAATAGGGCGGATACCAGCCGCCGTACCATCCTCCGTACCAGCCGTTCCAACTGTTCCATCCCCAATTCCATCCCCAGTTCCAACTGTTATAAGGGTAGTATCCCGAATACCAACTCCACGACGGGCTCCATCCCCACCACCACGGGCTGCTCCAGTTCCATGCGGGGGAGCTCCATCCCCACAGTCCGAGATTGATGTTTACGTTGGCTGTTCCCCAGTCGCCGTACAAGGAGGGGGCGTATTTGGGTTCTACGAGCACCTGGTCGCCGAGTACCGTCACGTCGTAATAGGCCGGATCGTAGGCGGAGGCATAGCGTCCCGAGGTGTTGGCATTTTCGTTTGGACGTCGCTCTGCCTGTCGTCGCTCAGCGAACCGAGACTTTTCAGACGGCTTGCGTAGAATCTCCGCCGTAACCGCCCGCGATCAAGCTGCTGCGCGATTCGTCCTCTTGTCGGTCGTTCAGTTTCGGATACGGCCCGGGCCACTTCCTCGCGGCGGGCCCGTTCGGCCTCTTCCGCGGCGCGCTGCGCTTCCTGCTGCCGGATGAGACGCTGCTGCTTCTCGGCGGCGATCGCTTTCGGTTGTGCGTTACGTATAAATCGTCGGTGGCAGCGGATGAAGTGCTCGAATAGACGGTTGCACTGCATCCTCCCAGCAGCGTGGCAACGACCACGCTGCCCAATACGGTTATTAATTTTCGGCTTTTCATGGCACTCTATTTTTTCTGTTTCGCGGAATGGCGGCCTTTTCGCCGCCGCCGCATTCCATCATATATAGGTATAACGAAAATTATACCCGAAAGTTATTGCTCCGGAAATAAATTTCACGGTTCCGGAGGGCGCGCGCGCCGTTTTTAAAAGATGCATCTGCGCCCTCCGAACGTTGCGTGGCGCGGGTCGAATGTTTTTCCTTTTTCCAGGGAAAACCGATCCGGCCTCGTTGCCAAAGATATTCAATTTTTACGATTTTGGAAAAATACTATACCTTTGTAAATCACAAACCGAAGTATTTTAAGACTGAAAAGTAGTTTGATATGGCAAAAGAGCTGAAAGAGTTGACATCACGGGACGAAAACTATTCGCAGTGGTATAACGATCTGGTGGTAAAAGCGGGACTGGCCGAGAATTCGGCAGTTCGCGGATGTATGGTGATCAAACCGTACGGTTATGCGATCTGGGAAAAAGATGCAGCGTGCGCTGGATCAGATGTTCAAAGATACCGGGCATGAAAACGCTTATTTCCCGCTGTTTATCCCGAAGTCGTTTTCAGCAAGGAGGCGCATCATGTCGAGGGGTTTGCAAGGAGTGCGCCGTGGTGACCCATTACCGGCTGAAAAACGATCCCGACGGCAAGGGCGTGATCGTCGATCCCGATGCCAGGCTCGAGGAGGAGCTGATCGTCCGCCCGACCTCCGAGACCATTATCGAATACCTATAAAATTGGATTCAGTCGTACCGCGACCTGCCGATCTTTGCAACCAGTGGGCTAACGTGGTGCGTTGGGAGATGCGTACGCGCCTGTTCCTGCGGACGGCCGAGTTCCTGTGGCAGGAGGGGCATACGGCGCACGAAACCCGGGAGGAAGCGATGGCCGAAGCGAAAAAATGATCGGCGTCTACAAGGAATTTGCCGAAAAGTGGATGGGGCTGCCGGTGATCGTGGGGCACAAGAGCGACAGCGAACGTTTCGCCGGGGCCGACGACACGCTGACGATCGAGGCGCTGATGCAGGACGGGAAAGCGCTGCAAAGCGGAACGTCGCATTTTCTCGGACAGAATTTCGCAAAAGCGTTCGACGTGCAGTTTACCAATAAGGAGGGTAAGCTCGATTATGTGTGGGCGACCTCGTGGGCGTTTCGACCCGTTTGATGGGGGCCCTGATCATGGCGCACTCCGACAATAACGGGCTCGTGCTGCCGCCGAAGTTGGCTCCGATACAGGTCGTGATGATCCCTATTTACAAAGGCTCCGAAGAGCTGGCGCAGATATTGGCCCGGCTGGACGAGATTGCCGCCGAACTGAAAAAACGGGGAATCAGCGTTAAAATCGATGCGCGGGACAATGTCCGCACCGGTTTCAAATTCGCGGAATACGAGTTGAAAGGCGTACCCGTTCGCCTGGCGATGGGGCCGCGCGACTTTGCCGGCGGTACGATCGAACTGGTTCGCCGCGATACGCTCGAAAAAGCGACCGTTCCGCAACAAGGGCTGGAAGATGCCGTCGAACGGCTTCTCGGCGAGATACAGCAGAATATTTATGATAAAGCGCTGAAATTCCGCGACGGTATGATTACGCGGGTCGACACGTACGACGAGTTCAAACGGGTGCTCGACGACAAAGGCGGCTTTATCCTGGCCCATTGGGACGGCTCGCCCGAAACGGAAGAGCGCATCAAGAACGAGACGAAAGCGACGATCCGGTGCATTCCGGTCGACGCCCCCGCCGAAGAGGGAGTCTGCATCGTCAGCGGAAAGCCTTCGCACCGCCGCGTCCTTTTTGCCAGGAGTTATTGATGTTTCTCTCTTTTAGATGAATAAGGCCTCTGTTTTTACAGAGGCCTTATTCATGGATGAGGGAATAATTGTTGTTTCAATGAAGATTCCTTAAATGTTCTTTTGGGTGCAGTGCAACGGTTTGTCAATTGTTTTGGTCAACTGTAAAGAAACGGTCGAGAATTCCCTGCAAGTAAAGACTGGTGACGATGGAAGTGCTTTTTCTGGAATGAAAACAGCACTCATTGTCATATCCGGATTAAGAACAAAACAATAGGGTGTATTTAATTCGTCTAATTTGGATACTTCCGTTATGCTGTAACAAGGCCATCTTTCGATATTGTAGGATCTGCTGTTTTTCTTGAACAAGTGAAAATCCGGATATTCAGTCATGATAACGGGTGTTATACCGTATTTCTTTGCAAAACTTATCATTCGACTAAATGCAAATGTTATAAATATTGTAAAGGTAATAGTTCGATTAATATAATGTCTATATATACCTTAAATACTAAAGAGCGAAGTTGCCTATTTGATTTGTATTGCCAGATGTTGATCGATTCCGATTAAGTATTTATCGGTTGGAGATTGAATATTCCAATGATCTCTATTGACGATTCGCTTTAAAAGAATGCAGACTTTGAGAAAGAATGAAATTTAAAAAAGATGAATATTTGAAGGATTGATAATTGTAGTTAATATACAATAATACAGATTTTTATATGTATTGAAATGGACGGATGAGATGAATGCATGAATAAAAAAAAACAAAAAAGATCGGATAAAATTTGCAGGATAAAAAAAAGTCTCTACATTTGCACCCGCTAAACGAAAGTAAAGCAGTTCTTTCAAAAGGTTGTCGAAAATAAAATTTGCAAATTTGCAAAGAAACATTTGGAAATTTAAAAATCCGCCGTATCTTTGCAGTCCGATTCGCTCTTAAAATCAGAGCGATTTTTTAGCGGTCTTTGCGAACTTTTCGCAACATGAAACAGGTTCTTTGAATTATTGGTAATATTTGAGAAAAACAAGTAAATGTAGTATTATCAATTCCTAAATTATTTCAGGAAATTCAAGTAGTCAGGACTCTAATGATTTAAATTTTTTACAATGGAGAGTTTGATCCTGGCTCAGGATAAACGCTAGCGGCAGGCCTAACACATGCAAGTCGAGGGGCAGCGGAAGAAGTAGCTTGCTACTTCTGCCGGCGACCGGCGCACGGGTGCGTAACGCGTATGCAACCTACCTTTAACAGGGGGATAATCCGAAGAAATTTGGTCTAATACCCCATAATATTTCAGAAGGCATCTTTTGAGGTTGAAAACTCCGGTGGTTAAAGATGGGCATGCGTTGTATTAGCTAGATGGTGAGGTAACGGCTCACCATTGCGATGATACATAGGGGGACTGAGAGGTTTTCCCCCACACTGGTACTGAGACACGGACCAGACTCCTACGGGAGGCAGCAGTGAGGATATTGGTCAATGGACGCAAGTCTGAACCAGCCATGCCGCGTGCAGGATGAAGGTGCTATGCATTGTAACTGCTTTTGTACGAGGGTAAATTCAGATACGTGTATCTGTTTGAAAGTATCGTACGAATAAGGATCGGCTAACTCCGTGCCAGCAGCCGCGGTAATACGGAGGATCCGAGCGTTATCCGGATTTATTGGGTTTAAAGGGTGCGTAGGCGGTTTGATAAGTTAGAGGTGAAAGCTCGATGCTCAACATCGAAATTGCCTCTGATACTGTCAGACTAGAGTGTAGTTGCGGAAGGCGGAATGTGTGGTGTAGCGGTGAAATGCTTAGATATCACACAGAACACCGATTGCGAAGGCAGCTTTCCAAGCTATTACTGACGCTGAGGCACGAAAGCGTGGGTAGCGAACAGGATTAGATACCCTGGTAGTCCACGCCGTAAACGATGATAACTCGTTGCCGGCGATATAGTGTCGGTGACTAAGCGAAAGCGATAAGTTATCCACCTGGGGAGTACGTTCGCAAGAATGAAACTCAAAGGAATTGACGGGGGCCCGCACAAGCGGAGGAACATGTGGTTTAATTCGATGATACGCGAGGAACCTTACCCGGGCTTGAAAGTTAGCGACGGATCCTGAAAGGGGTCTTCTCTTCGGAGCGCGAAACTAGGTGCTGCATGGTTGTCGTCAGCTCGTGCCGTGAGGTGTCGGGTTAAGTCCCATAACGAGCGCAACCCCTACTGTTAGTTGCCAGCATGTCAAGATGGGCACTCTAGCAGGACTGCGGTGTAAGCCGAGAGGAAGGTGGGGATGACGTCAAATCAGCACGGCCCTTACGTCCGGGGCGACACACGTGTTACAATGGTCGGTACAGAGGGTAGCTACCTGGTGACAGGATGCCAATCTCGAAAGCCGATCTCAGTTCGGATTGGAGGCTGAAACTCGCCTCCATGAAGTTGGATTCGCTAGTAATCGCGCATCAGCCATGGCGCGGTGAATACGTTCCCGGGCCTTGTACACACCGCCCGTCAAGCCATGGGAGTTGGGGGTGCCTGAAGTACGTGACCGCAAGGAGCGTCCTAGGGCAAAACCGATGACTGGGGCTAAGTCGTAACAAGGTAGCCGTACCGGAAGGTGCGGCTGGAACATCTCCTTTTTGGAGGGTATGATTATTTGAAGATAGGTATGAAACTTACCTGTTTTTCTCAGATTACCTTTAATTTTAATAATATGTGTGTCCCACATTACACTAGACAGTCCCGTAGCTCAGTTGGTTAGAGCACTACACTGATAATGTAGGGGTCAGCGGTTCAAGTCCGCTCGGGACTACCATAAAGAGATTGGGGAATTAGCTCAGTTGGCTAGAGCACCTGCTTTGCAAGCAGGGGGTCAAGGGTTCGACTCCCTTATTCTCCACAATTTACACTAGAAAGGTTTGCGTTTTGTAAGGCTTTCCTGTTGTAAAAAAGTTCTTTGACAGATTTAAGGATGAGAAAGGGGGTTGCATAACCGGTCACGAGCCGGGTTATGCGACACGAAAAAGAAAGTAAGCAAGGGCGTACGGGGGATGCCTAGGCTCTTGGAGGCGAAGAAGGACGTGTTAAGCTGCGAAAAGCTGCGGGGATTTGCAAAAAAGACTTGATCCGCAGATGTCCGAATGGGGCAACCCGGCAGGTCGGAGACCTGTCACACCGGCAACGGTGAGCAAACCCTATGAACTGAAACATCTTAGTAATAGGAGGAGGAGAAAGAAACATCGATTTCCCGAGTAGTGGCGAGCGAAAAGGAAAGAGCCCAAACCGGCATTGTTACGGCAATGCCGGGGTTATAGGACTGCGATATCTTAATACCAACGAACGAGAAATGACTGGAAAGTCGTACCGTAGAGGGTGAAAGTCCCGTATTGGTAAGTTCGGTAAGCGGTAGCAGTATCCTGAGTATGGCGGGACACGAGGAATCCTGTCAGAATTGCGGGGACCACCCCGTAAGGCTAAATACTCCCAAGAGACCGATAGTGGACCAGTACCGTGAGGGAAAGGTGAAAGTACCCCGAACAGGGGAGTGAAAAAGAACCTGAAACCGTACGCTTACAACCTGTCGGAGCCGCTTCGTGCGGTGACGGCGTGCCTTTTGGATAATGAACCTACGAGTTACTAATCACTAGCGAGGTTAAGGACTATAAAGTCCGGAGCCGAAGCGAAAGCGAGTCTGAATAGGGCGTATAGTTAGTGGTTGTAGACGCGAAACCTTGCGATCTACCCATGAGCAGGATGAAGGTTGGGTAAAACCAACTGGAGGTCCGCACCGGTAAACGTTGAAAAGTTTTCGGATGACTTGTGGGTAGGGGTGAAAGGCTAATCAAGCTGGGAAATAGCTCGTACTCCCGAAATGCTTTTAGGAGCAGCGTTGTAATAGTCTACTGGAGGTAGAGCTACTGATTGGATGCGGGGGCTTCACCGCCTACCAAATCCTGACAAACTCCGAATGCCAGTAGAATGATTTGCAGCAGTGAGCCGCTGGGTGCTAATGTCCGGCGACTAAAGAGGAACAACTCAGACCATCAGCTAAGGCCCCCAAACATACACTAAGTTGAACTAACGATGTGCGACTGCAGCGACAGCTAGGATGTTAGCTTGGAAGCAGCTATTCATTTAAAGAGTGCGTAACAGCTCACTAGTCGAGCGGTTGTGCGTGGATAATAACCGGGCATCAAGTGTATTGCCGAAGCTATGGACTCTACGGAGTGGTAGGGGAGCATTCCATCGACGTCGAAGCCGATTCGTGAGGATCGGTGGAGTTTATGGAAAAGCAAATGTAGGTATAAGTAACGATAAGGCGGGAGAGTAACCCGCCCACCGCAAGACCAAGGTTTCCTGATCAACGTTAATCGGATCAGGGTCAGTCGGGGCCTAAGGGTAAGCCGCATGGTGATCTCGATGGACAATCGGTTAATATTCCGATACTGATATGAACTGCGACGGAGGGACGGAGAAGCGTAAGCTACGCCAACAGACGGAATTGTTGGTTAAAGGGTGTAGGTATATGATTCGGTTAATAGCTGATTCATGCTGAAACCTGACAGTACCGAGCGGCTACGGCCAATCGGATAGTTAGCCCAAGCAAGCTTCCGAGAAAAACTTCTAAGCTTCAGGTTCATATCACCCGTACCGTAAACCGACACAGGTGGTCGAGGAGAGTATCCTCAGGTGCTTGAGTGAATCACGGATAAGGAACTAGGCAAATTGACCCCGTAACTTCGGGAAAAGGGGTCCCTACGCAAGTAGGGCGCAGCGAAGAGGTCCAGGCAACTGTTTAACAAAAACATATGGCTCTGCTAATTCGAGAGAAGAAGTATAGGGCCTGACACCTGCCCGGTGCTGGAAGGTTAAGAGGGGATGTCAGCGCAAGCGAAGCATTGAATCGAAGCCCCAGTAAACGGCGGCCGTAACTATAACGGTCCTAAGGTAGCGAAATTCCTTGTCGGGTAAGTTCCGACCTGCACGAATGGTGTAATGATCTGGACACTGTCTCGTCCGTGAGCTCAGTGAAATTGTAGTCCCGGTGAAGATGCCGGGTACCCGCAACGGGACGAAAAGACCCCGTGAACCTTTACTGCAACTTAACGCTGAATTTGGGTGCATAATGTGTAGGATAGGCAGGAGACTGCGAAGCGGTGCCGCTAGGTATCGTGGAGTCAACGTTGAAATACTGCCCTTTGTGTATTTGAATTCTAACCCCGCAAGGGAGACACCGTTTGGTGGGTAGTTTGACTGGGGTGGTCGCCTCCAAAAGCGTAACGGAGGCTTCCCAAGGTACCCTCAGCACGAATGGTAACCGTGCGCAGAGTGCAATGGCACAAGGGTGCTTGACTGTGAGACCAACAAGTCGACCAGGTGCGAAAGCAGGGCATAGTGATCCGGTGGTTCTGTGTGGACTGGCCATCGCTCAAAGGATAAAAGGTACTCCGGGATAACAGGCTGATCGCCGCCAAGAGCTCATATCGACGCGGCGGTTTGGCACCTCGATGTCGGCTCGTCACATCCTGGGGCTGGAGAAGGTCCCAAGGGTTCGGCTGTTCGCCGATTAAAGTGGCACGCGAGCTGGGTTCAGAACGTCGTGAGACAGTTCGGTCTCTATCTGTTGCGGGCGTAGGAAATTTGAGGGGTCCTGACTTTAGTACGAGAGGACCGAGTTGGACGAACCTCTGGTTTATCAGTTATGCCGCCAGGTGTATCGCTGAGTATCCATGTTCGGATTGGATAAGTGCTGAAAGCATCTAAGCACGAAGCCAACCCCAAGATAAGATTTCCCTTGAGGGCCGTAGGAGACTACTACGTTGATAGGCCGCAGGTGTAAAGGCAGTGATGTCAAAGCCGAGCGGTACTAATAGCCCGAATGACTTTCTTTACAGAGGGCCCTTTCTCATCCTCGAATCGTCAAATACTCGAAAGAAGGTGTTTGAGTCAAAAGAACTTTACGATATCATGTTGTTAGCTATAACAATGTAGATTAGGTGGTTATAGCAGCGGGGTTCCACCTCTTCCCATTCCGAACAGAGAAGTTAAGCCCGTTCACGCCGATGGTACTGCAGTAACATGTGGGAGAGTAGGTAGCCGCCTCCTTAGAGTCCTCCGAGCAATCGGGGGACTCTTTTTTTATGCGGCAAAAGGGTGAATCAAGGGGCCATCGGTGACCGATACTACTTGTCCGTTTTTGAAGGTTACTCGTATAACGGGCGCTTCGTCTCGTTCGAACGAAAAATGGTTTGAGGATCGGAGTGTTGTACGGAATCCCGGGCTTGCAGGTTTCCAATAGCTGAATTTATTTCGGCGAACAAACAAATACTATAAATCATTGGTTATTTGCATATTGGTCGGAATGGACGTTCTCATTAAATAAGAACGCACATTTAATCGTAGAAATTGGCTGCATTAAAAAAGTTAGTTCCGGAATTTATGGCAATGGCAGTAACCGGTTGGTTCGTAATTGGATCTAATGTTTGTAAAGTTTGTGCAAAACTTGTTCCCCTGCCTGTACTTCCATAGTTTGCAGCACTTATGGGTACATTTGAATTGATACTGACCATCGCCCCCATCGCCCTAAGAACCGCATTTTGTTGTCCCGACTCTGCCGTGTTCAGACTCGTGGAATTTTGTCGCAAGCTTAAAGACGAATATCCGTTATTCATTAATGTCGTTTCGTCTTCGATGATTCGTGCATTATCCCCGGCTCCCGTGCTTTCGAGCCGGTTGGTAGATGCGACGTAATACCAGTCTCCGCCGATTACCGCGCTTTTCTCGTTTTCTTCCATGTAGCTACCATGGCAAATTTTCAAGGTTCAGTTTTTTAGCATGGTCGATTGTCTTTAGGTTTGCTTTGGGGGATATTCGCAATTTATACGAAAATAATAATATCATTAAAATAGCAATATCGGCTCTGTTCTTTTAGTAATTGGAGTGTGGGGGGAAGGAGTTGTGCGGATGATGCGTGTCTGGGTCCGGATTTGTAAATTTCCTTATGGCGGGGGAGCGGTATTTCTGAGAAAGCTCCGTTTTTATTTCTGGCCGGATTTCCGGAAAGTCCGCAATTTTCCGTGAAATGGGAATTGTGGGTTGTTTTTTGTTAAAACCGAATACGGAACACTGTAATCCGGTATTTCAGAAATTATTTTTCAAACCTTAAAAAATTAAAATCATGAAAGGTCAATGCTTTTTTCGTTTCTGGGCGGAGCTGCCATCGGTGCGGTCGTAGCCCTGCTGCTGGCTCCCGATTCGGGGCAGAACACGCGTCACAAAATCGTCGATAAGATCAAACACGGCGAGCAGAAGGTAAAGGATGCCGTAGAGGAGGAATTGTACGCCCACAAACAACAGTAAATCCGCCGCAGGTATGGAAAACAACGACAGGGGCCGAATCGGACAGGCGACTCGGGATGTGAAGGATTATGCGGCGCTCTATGCGGATCGTCTGCGGCTCGGCCTGATCGAGAATCTTTCGACCTTTTTCAACGCACTGTTCGGCGTGGTCGTCCTGATTGTTTTGCTGTGGATCGCCGCGATGTTCTTTGCCGTGGCCCTGACGTGGGTGATCGGCATGTTAATCGGGCGATGCTCGGCGCCATACTGTTGATGGGAGGGCTGTTCGTCGTGCTGGCAGCGATCGTATATGCGGTACGCCGCAGGCTGATCGTCGATCAGATGGCCAGGATGTTCGGCAAAATGGTCTATGACATGCGTAAAAAACATTCGGACGATGAGTAAAGTACATTATCAGCGGATCCGTTCGCTGCAGGACGTCAGGATCGAACGCTTGCGCGTGGAAAATGAATTGGACGCGGTCGAACGGAGGTTGCGGGACGATTACCGCGGGATATCGAAGATGTTCTCGGTGGGCTACCTGATGGAGCAGATCACCGGGAAGGCCAACCTGATCTATAACATCGTGCAATGGAGCATGTCCGGGTATAACTTCATCCATTCGATGATCGACAAATACAAAGCCATGAATGCCGAACGGACCGGCAAAGAGTCCGATTCCGGAAAAAATCCGTTTAAATAAGGGAGGCTTTGCCGGATAATAACCGAAAGGCGGTCGCAGGTATCTGCGACCGCCTTTCGGTTAGGGAAAATGATTTGTATACCGGCCTCCGGTGCTGCCCGCGAACGGACGGCACCGGATCGTTTACTGGTTGTGTCCGGGGGCGTACGGTGCGGCGGATTTCGATCCCGTGACTTTTTTAACCTGTCCGGGCGGCAGTTTTTGTTCTTTGTATTGCTTGCGCTGTATCCGCAGTTCTGCGGAACAGGAGGACAGGGCGGCGATAATCCCCAGCAGCAAAATTCCCGGTAATATATGTTCATTTCATATAAGGTCGGTTTTACGGTTCCACCTCGATAATTTGCCGTGTCGGTTCGCAAGCCTATTTTTTCTTGTCTCGGTTCGCAAGGTACTCTTTTACCACGTTGTAGTAATCGTCCGGTTTTTCCGTTGGGATAGCGTTTGTGGGCCGTTTTGCTCTCTTTGGTGTCGGCAATTCCCCAGAAGATCGCATCGCACGTGTCGTCGTATGAGCCGAAGATGCAGTATTCGGACGCTTCGCCTGCCCAGGCTACTTTCTCTTTCCATTGATCCAGCGTGCTGCGTTTCCAGTCTGCGGGAGCCACTCCTTCGTTCGGGCAGACGAACCGCACCGTGTTATCCGAACTCGAAGAGCGGTTGCGGTAGCCCCATCCGTCCGAAGCGACGAAATCCATCGGGGAGTTGACCTGGCAGGTGCCGATCCGGAATTTAGCCAGGTAGTCTTTCTCGTTGTCCGGCGCGGCGTCGTACATTTCCCGGAAGTTTTCGCCCATGTAGAAAACCACCAGCATCGGCCGGTCGTCTCCGTAGCCGTATTTGCGGTAAACATCCTTCTGGGCCAGTTTTCCCAGATGCGTTTGGCGATGCCGTTCCAGTAGGCCAACGTGTGGGCTGCCGGGTTGCCGATGAACATGATGAACTGCATCCCCAGTTCGTTGCACACCGTTTCGATGGTTTCGAGCTGGTACTTGGTATCCACGTCCCACAGGGCGTTTTCGTTGGGCTGGCATCCCGGCCAGCTCGCGGAACGGTCGCCCATTGGCTGGGATTGGTCAGGTCGATGATCACGTTGTTGATGCCGGCCTGTTGGATCGTGGAAAGGATCGCGCGGGCCTGGTCGATGTTTTTGTAATCGTGATCGGTGATCCACTTGTCGCCTACCTTGAACTTGATGACTCCTTCGTTCGCGCTGCGGCAGCAAATCAGGATATGGGTCATCGGGACGGGGCCTTCGGTTACGGAGGTCGAGTCGGTGCCGGAATTAGAACCGGCATTGCCTTTGGACGGGTTTCGGCGCATCCGAACCAGGCCAGGGTTGCCGCCAGAAGGCAGCATGTCAAGAAACGTTTCATAATAATGTGGGGTTAGTTGGTAATGATACGAGTTTTGTAAATGGTTGTCGGTACGTTCGATTCAGCGAGTTTTTGAGACTTTTTTCGGAGTGTCATCTTCCGTGTTTGATACAAATATAACGATTCATTCGGGAATCGAATCCATTTTATATAAGGAAAATGAATTCGGTTTCGATTTCGGAATCGGCGATCTTGTCGATAGTCATGTTGAATCGGCGATGTAAAAAGAATAAAAATGCGATGAGAATTGAACTTTAGATAGTAAATTTGGAAAATATCTTCGCTGATGAGGATTAATATAAGAAAAAATTAGGTTGAGCCGGTGTTCCGTTGCGGATCACGTAGTTTTGTGGAATATGTCGTTCCAAATGCACATGGTACGGTCGGGGTAAGTGTTCCAAATAATTGTTGATTTGTAATAAGAGCGGAGTTTTAATAGGATTGGGTATGAATAAACGATGTGTTGTTTCGGTCGTAGCGTTTTCTTTTTTTGTTTCAGCCTGCCGACAGGTTGTCGTTCCTTCGGCGGATTACATGATTCTGGACGAGGTCGCATATGTCGATACGTTTCCGCAAACTTTTACGATCGGCCAGGGGACGCTTTTCGATCCGGATGTAATCGGGGTATCGAGTATTGTTATTCGGGATTCATTGCTGCTTATTTCCACATCCGATAATAAGGGGTACTGGTCGCTTGTCTCATTGCCCGAATATAAGCATTTGGGGAAATATTTGATGAAGGGAAACGGACCCAACGAACTGTTGTCTTCGCCTTGGGTGAAGCAGCAAAATTTTCTGAAAGAGCAAGGCCGGCTCAAAGCTATTATATACAGTTCCGACAGGGAAATCCTATAAAATGGACTTATCTGAAACGATAAAAACAAGGCGCTTCGTATGAGAATGATGCAAGATTCTTTTCCTCGGAATCTGACGGCGTTTATCGTATTGGACAGTACGACTTTTTTATGTAAAGAGATTAATGAAGAGCATACCCGACAAATAAGATACATTCTGCATAAAGGAGAAAAAACGATTCCGGAGAATCTCGAAAAGTTAAATTTTCTTCCGTGCGTGCGGGAGAAGATTTTAATATTCTGTCGACGGCAACGAAATGCAATGCCGACGGTAGCCGGATTGTCGAAGCTCCTAACAGATTAAATCAGATTAACGTATTCTCCGGACGGCTCTTTCGGGAAAACGATTTGTGTCGGCAGACAGTTGGATCGTATCGGCGACGTGCAAGATCTCGATCCCCAAAGCAGAAAGCGCACTTATATGGATCTGGTCGCATTCCCTGATTTTTCGGCGCTTTGTACCTGGGTGAGAAAAGAGAAAATATCGGAAAGGAGATGTCGAAAAAGCCGGTGATTCAGTTTTTCGACTGGGATGGGAATCCATTGGCCGAAGTGAAATTGGATCGGTTTGTTTCTGCGTATGCCGTCGATTTGATCAACGGGGATTTGTATGCGCTGAATTATAATATGGAGGAGATGTATAAATATGATTTTAAAGAAATTCTGGAGAAATTGAATAAGCGGAGCGATTAGGTGTGACTGTTTGATTTGATAGCATCGATATCCGTCGATAAAGCGAAGCGGATGTCGCATCGCTTTATGGGTATGTGTGTAACTCGCGATTTTACTAAGTTGATAAACGAAAAAGGTTATGACGGAAGTCATAACCTTTTATAGTAGCGGGACGGGACTTGAACCCCGGACCTCATGATTATGAATCATGCGCTCTAACCAGCTGAGCTATCCCGCCGTCATTCGGCGTTTGCGAGTGCAAAAGTAGCAAATATTCGTTTCGCACAAATTATCCGTCCGCATTTTTTGCCCGAAAATCATTTTAACGGGAACTTAACCGCTACCTTCGGGTAAAAATCGTATCTTTGTTAAGCGAAAAACAGATTTGTCAACTTAAAAATAGAAGAAGATGAAAAAAATTGTCTTGGATTGCTTGTCGTATGGATGGCCGCATTGACGGCGGATTTGTCGGCCAAATCCGGACCGGGTCCTAAAAAAAGCGGAAAATGCGCGGTAAAGAATGTGATTTACATGATCGGCGACGGGATGGGATTGTCGCAAGTGTCGATGATGATGCTTGAGAACGGCTACGGCCCACAGCGTTCGACCGCAGCGGGAACATCGCCCTGATTAAGACCTACTCGGCGAACAACCGCGTGACCGATTCGGCCGCTGCCGGGACCGCTCTGGCATCGGGAACAAAACCGATAACGGTATGCTCGGAATGGGGCCCGACGGGCAGGTTTTCAAATCGATTATGGAGCGGGCCAAAGAGGAGGATACCAGACCGGTTTGGTCGTAACCGTCTACCTACAACATGCGACTCCGGGCGCTTTCTTTGCACACGTGCCCAGCCGCGGCGATCTGGACGTAATTTCGAGCAGTTCGTCGAAAGCGGCGTGGACGTTGCGTTGGGCGGCGGCAAGAAGTTCCTGCAGGAAGGACAGAAGGACGGCAAGCCGCTGATCGACGCGCTGAAAACGAAGGACTACCGCGTCGTGTACGATATGAACGAACTGAACGGGGTGGACCGCGGCAAGGTGGTCGGACTGTTCGCCGACGAGTACATGCCGACGGTGATGAAGGGCCGCGACGAAAACTACCTGTGCAATGCGACCAAAAGGCGCTCGAAATCCTGTCGAACAATGCGGCCGGCTCCAAAAAGGGTTTCATGGTGATGATCGAAGGATCGCAGATCGATTCGGAAGGGCACGCCAACAATGCGGAAGGCATCCTGGCCGAGACGCGCGATTTCGAACGGCTGTCGGCGCTGCGATGGATTTTGCCGACACCCATCCCGGCACGCTGGTCGTCGTGACGGCAGATCACGAAACTTCCGGACTGTCGATCACGAGCAACAAGACCGATTTCACGCTCTCCGAAAGCGGGATCGGATACCAGTTCGGCACGACCGGACATACCGGTACGTTGGTGCCCGTTTACCTGTACGGCGCGTGCGCCGACCGGATCAACGGGATCATGGACAACACCGACCTGCCGAAAGAAATCGCAGCGTTGATGCGGCTGAAATAGTACCTGCGGATTTTATCCGATATGCAGAACGCTCTCCCCGACCGGGGAGAGCGTTCTGTGTTTTAATCGGCGCGAACGTTGTTCGGGCGGCCGGACGAAAGAGGCGGCGTTCCTGTGGACATCCATTTCAGACGCAGGCTGTTGGCGACTACCGATACGGAACTGAACGCCATGGCGGCTCCGGCCAGCATCGGATTCATCAGGATGCCGTACAGCGGGTAGAGCACGCCGGCCGCGATCGGGATGCCGATCAGGTTGTAAATAAACGCCCAGAACAGGTTCTGCCGGATCAGCCGGACGGTTTTGCGCGACAGAACGTAGGCTTTCGGCAGCAGCAGCAAGTCGGAATTCATCAGCGTGACCATCGCGACGTCCATTGCGATGTCGGTGCCGTGCCCCATTGCGATGCTGACGTCGGCGCGAGCCAGCGCTTGCGAGTCGTTGATGCCGTCGCCGACCATCGCTACGCGCTTACCTTCCCGCTGCAATTGCTGGATGTATTTGTCTTTGTCGTCGGGCAACACTTCGGCCCGGTAATGGCGGATGCCGAGCCGTTCGGCCAGCGCGGCCGCTGTCTTACGGCTGTCTCCGGTCAGCATGGCGATGTCGATGTGCAGCCTGCGCAGTTGGTCGAGGGCGGGCGGCGTGGTCGCTTTCAGCGTATCGTTGATAACGATGACGGCCAGCAGTCGGTCGGCCGTGCCGAAATAGACGATGCTTGCGCCAGTCTGCTGGGCCGTTTCGATCCGCACGTCCGTTTCTTCGGCGGCGCGGCGCCTTGTTCGGCCATCAGTTGCGGCTGCCGAGCCAGTAGTCCGCGTTGCCGGCCGTAAAACGGATTCCACGCCCGGTCAGACTGACGAACGAGGCCACTTCGCAGGGTTGCGCTTCGTGTGCCGACAGGTAGTTTACGATGGCGCTGGCCAGCGGATGTTCGGATTTCATTTCGGCGGCGCAGATCATGTTTCGGTACTCCGGCAGGTCGGGGCCTGCGGCGATCCAGTCGACGACCGAAGGGCGCCCTTCGGTCAGCGTACCGGTCTTGTCCATGACGACGGTATCGATCCGGCACAGTTGTTCGAGGCCGTCGCGTCCTTGATTAGGATCTGGTTCTCGGCTCCTTTGCCGATGCCGACCATCAGCGCGGTCGGCGTAGCCAGTCCCAGCGCGCAGGGACAGGCGATGACCAGCACCGAGACGGCCGATAGCAGGGCATACGAAAAATAGTCCATGCCGCCGATGGCCAGCCACAGCGCGAAGGTCAGCAGCGCGATGCCGATGACCGTCGGTACGAAAATTGCCGCGATCCGGTCGGCGATGCGCTGTACCGGGGCTTTGCTGCCCTGGGCTTGTTGTACCATGCGGATGATCCGGGCCAGCAGCGTGTCGCTGCCGACTCCGGTGGTTTCGAGAACGAACGTCCCGCGCGAATTGATCGTGCCGGCCACCACTTTGTCCCCGGCCTCCTTGCCGACGGGCAGCGGTTCGCCGGTGATCATGCTTTCGTCTACGTACGACGATCCGTCGCGAACGACGCCGTCCACGGGATTTTTTCGCCCGGGCGTACCGAAACCCGGTCGCCCACCTGCAATGCGGAGATCGGAACGTCCTCTTCGTGATCGCCCCTCACGAGCCGGGCGGTGGTCGGCTGCAGGCCGATCAGTCTTTTAATGGCGGACGATGTGTTGCTTTTGGCGCGTTCCTCGAGCAGTTTGCCGACCAGCACGAATGCGATGATTACGCAGGCGGCTTCGTAATAGACGTGCGGTTCGAGTCCGCGCCGGAGCCAGAACTGCGGGTAAACGGTGTTGAACAGGCTGAACAGGAAAGCGATCGACGTGCTGAGGGCCACCAGCGTATCCATGTTGGCCTGCCGGTGGCGCAGTTGTTTCCATCCGTTGACGAAAAAGCCGCGCCCGAAAAAAAACAATACCGGCAGCGACAGTATGAGCATGATCCAGTTGCCGTAAGGCATGTGCATGAACAGCATGGCGATCACGACGATCGGCAGCGAGAACAGCCACGCTCCGATCGTGTCGTACCGCAGGCGCAGGTAGCGGTTGCGTTCGGCCTGCTGCTGTTGACCTCTCCGCCCTGTTCGTCGATGATCAGGTCGTATCCCGAAGCCTGGACGGCGGCGCGGATCTGCTGCGGCGTGATCTGCGATTCGTCGAATCCGACCGACAGCCGGTTGGATGCGAAATTCACCGATGCGTCGGTGACTCCGGGCAGTTTCCGCACGGTTTGTTCGACGCTCATGGCGCAGGACGCGCAGCTCATTTCCAGTACCGGGTAATTTTGCGAACGGTTTCCCTTCATAACTTAAATTTCGATTAATCGACAGGTATCAAACAAAAACGATACCCAAAGATAGGAAATATCTCCGAATACCGTTTTGAAAATAGGCGGCCGCCCGTCCCTGTCTGGCGTTATACCGACAGCGGGCCGCGTTTGCGGCGCAGTTCCGCCGCGCGGAACTCGGCCTGTAGCGAAGCGATCGTTTCGCGGACGCTCGTGATCTTTTGGACAGGAACGCATTGGCTCCTGCGAAAGCGTATCCGCGGGAGGTTGCCTTTGGCCGCATTGTACAGCGCCATGATAATGCAGTAGGGACTTTTGGTGTAGTCGCAGGTCTTGATGCAGTGGAACGGACATTTCTTCGGACGGGTCAGCCCTTCGCGCAACCGGCGGATGAACTCCCCGGCGATCGCGCGCCCCGGCATTCCTACGGGGCTGGCGATGATTTCGATGTCTTCCTCGCGGGATTGATATAAGTGTCCTTGAACGCCTGCGACGCGTCGCATTCTTCGGTTGTCACGAACTTGCTGCCGAGCTGCACACCGTCGGCGCCGAGTTCCATGATCCGGAGATGTCTTCGCCGGTATAGAGTCCTCCGGCGGCGATCACCGGGATGCGGCGGCCGTAGAGCTTTTCGAAATGCCGCGCTTCGGCGACCACTTCCGGAACGATGTGTTCCAGCGAGTAGTTGGCGTCGTCGATCTGGTTGTTTTTATAGCCGAGGTGACCGCCCGCTTTCGGACCTTCGACGACGATGGCGTCGGGCAGGTAGTCGTAGTTCGCTTTCCATTTTTCGCAGATGATCTTCGCCGCGCGGGCCGAAGAGACGATGGGCACCAGTTTCGTGGTGCTCTCCCGCTGTAAGTAGGACGGCAGGTCGAGCGGCAGTCCCGCGCCGGAGAAGATGATATCGGCCTTCTCCGCGATCGATGTTTTGACCATGTCCGAGAAGTTGCTCAGCGCGACCATGACGTTGACCCCGATCACGCCGCGCGTTTTTGCGCGCGCTTGCGGATCTCTTCTTTGAGACCATTATGCTGTTCGTCAGATAGTCTTTCGAGAATTTCGGGTACAGCAGCCCCATTCCGGCGCACGAGATCACTCCGACGCCTCCTTCGTTGGCTACGGCCGAGGCCAGCCCCGAAAGGGAAATGCCTACTCCCATACCGCCTTGGATGATAGGCAGTTTGATGGTAAGATCTCCGATTT